AGGCACCACTGTACTATTAAGCAATTACACATTAAATATTTAAAGTGGCAATGCAAATAATAGTATTGGTGGCTGATAGCTTCATTGGGATTCCATGGATGGAAATGCCTGCCTGAACAGCCAGTTTTTAAAGCAGCTTCCTAAAGGTTACCGGCAAGGTGAGGTCCAAGGGTAGTTGGTTCCAGAGTCGGGGTACGACCACTAAGAAAGCCAAGTTCCTTGTCTTCTCCTTCCAGGCTTCTCTCAGGGTCAGCACTCTCAGACATTCAGCCTGGGACAAATGAGTAGGGGGGGGTAGTTGTTGCTGAGAGAAGATGTTCTGGCAAGTTCCCCAGTTCTAAACCATTTAGAGCAGGGGTGTCCAACCTTTCACCTTCCCTAGGCCACATTAGAAGATGAAAATTTGGTTTGGGCCGCATGGGGGGGCAGCCCTAGCCGTCCTCTGCGGCCCCGCTCCAAGCATGCTTACCGACAGCTGCAATTTCAGACAGCAGAGGCTGCCAGCTTGGACTCTGGTGGCTTTATGGGGCCGGGAGGGGGTCCTCCTATTGACGAGGGTGGCACAATGCAGTCACACAACCCCCCTCTCCCCTCCCCTCCCCCTCCTTCCTTCCTTCCTTCTCCCCCCTCCCATTGTGACGTGCCCCAGCCGCATTCCGGCTGCAAGCGCCGGCAGTGTAACTTGAAACTTTGGAATTTCTTTAAAAATAAAAAATTGCACTGGGCCGCATTATGAGCCAAACCGGGCCGCAGGTTCGACAAGCCTGATTTAGAGCTTTATACGTTAGAACCATCAGCTTGAAGCTCGCCCTGAAGTGGACAGGCAACCAGTATAAGGTGGCCAGGGTTAAGGAAATATGTTGGTATTTACCAACTCCACCTATTGGCCTGGCTGCCATATTATGGACCTGCTGGAGCTTCCATATCAGCCTCAAGGGAAGCCCCACATAGAGGGTATTACAGTAGCCTATTCTTGAGATTACCAATGCATGGACCAATGTGGTGAGTGACTAGGTGTCCAGTCTGGATGCAACTGCACGATCTGTCAAAGATGAAAGTAGGCGGATTGGACCCAGATGCTGTCTGGTTGTCCATTGACAGCACTGGGTCCAGAAGAATGCCAAGACCGCACACCTCATCCTTAGCAGAGAAAGTCACCCCACCAAACCGCAAACACTAGGGGCACCCACCCAGAGTACCTCTCTCTTGCCCAGGTTCAGCCTCTGTCTGTTGTCCTTCATCTACTCCAGCACAGCAGCCAGGCAGTGCTCAAGGGACGGGACAGCGTCTACTGCTGATGGGTGGAAAGAGAGACAGAGTTGCATGTCATCCACATAATGATGACACAAAAATCCGAATCTCTGGATGACCTCCCGCAGCAGTCTCATATAAATGTTAAGCGGCAACGGGGAGATTATTGATATTTCTTCCACTAGTTTTCACTCTGACTATCTAATCCAGCCTTCCATGAGACATATTCTGTGTATAGGTTGAACAGATAGGGAAATAAAATACACGATTGTCTTACAACTATAGGGAACAACTGTTTCTACACAGTCTGTCCCAACAGCTTTTTGTCCAGAGCATATATTACGCATCAGGACAATAAAGTGTTGAGACACACTCTTTAAAAATATTGTCCATAGGTTTTCACCATGAATATACTCAAAAGTTCTGTTGCAGCCAAAATGCAAACTGACCTTCTGAAGTGTTTGGTATGAATTGAAATATATCTTCATCCCTTTCAGAATCCAGTCTGCACATCGGACATTTCTCACTCAACATAGGGAAAAAAATCTTTGTTGTGATACTTAAAGCATCACTTTGCTTGCATGAGATATTAATACACTCACTGGTGTTTTCATTTGGGGAAGGCAATTTATATTGATTGCTTCCAGTCTGTGGGCCACTGTTTTTCTATATTTACTGGCATATTCCTGTTACGATTTTGACATATCCAGTCTCTGTAGTTTGAAATGGAATATTGAGAGGACTGTCTATTCATGGTGATTTAGTTCTTCCAAATGCTTACAGAGGCTTCCACTTCATTTTCTAAAACTGCAAGTTCTTGGCCACAGGATTCTTTTTTTTAAAAAAAATCTGACATCCTTGCATTTCTTCTGTATAGTTTTTCAGTTTATCATTTTCATCTTCTCTTTATTTTATCCAGGTAAGATATCATGATCATTTACTGATTTTTTTACCATCCCTAATCTAGGCTTAAATTTCCCTTTGATTTCCTGGATCTTATGGAAGAGATATCTCCTTCCCAAGGGTCTATCCCTCTTATTTCAGAGTAAAAGAAATACATACTGGTCAACAAAAAATAATAATAATAAAAGAATATTCCTGTCACTAGAAAACACAGTAATGCTGAAAAAAACTGGCAGCAGCAGAAGAGGAAAACCAAAATGAGAGACAATCAATAAAGAAAGCCATGGCCTTGAATTTACAAGACCTGAGCAGGATTGATGATAGGGACATTTTGAAGGCTACCTATTCTTAGGTAAAGGTTCCCCTTGACAATTTTTGTCCAGTCGTGTTCGACTCTGGGGGGCGGTGTTCATCTCCATTTCCAAGCCATAGAGCCAGCGTTTTTGTCCGAAGACAATCTTCTGTGGTCACATGACCAGTGCGACTTAGACACAGAACGCTGTTACCTTCCCACTGAGGTGGTCCCTATTAATCTACTCGCATTTTGCATGCTTTCGAACCGCTAGGTTGGAGGGAACTGGGACAAGCGACGGGCGCTCACTCCATCGCGTGGATTTGATCTTACAACTGCTTGGTCTTCTGACCCTGCAGCACAGGCTTCTGCGGTTTAGCCCGCAGCGCCACCACGTCCCTCCACCTATTCTTAGGATTACCATAAATCAGAGACTTGATGGCACATTATAGCAAGCAATAAACCAGTTATTATATCGACAGCTAATTATAAGAATAAACACTGTACACCAAATGTGCTGTTCTTCTGGAATGAGAAAACACAGCCCTACTAAACTGGAGTAGACCTCTGCGAAATATCAGAACTTTTATTTTACATAAAATCTAACATCCCTTGAACTGCAAAAGGGACAGGTAAAGTACAACCCACAATTCACATGCATGGCCTCCTCTAGCTTCCCTTCTACAATTTTTAAGCAAAAAGAAAATGCTCAAGGAGTTTCTTTGCACACTGCAGGATACATGGGAGGCAATTCTGATATATTCCCCACCAGTACCTGTCCCCATCCATCCACCAAAACTTATTTTGCTTTAATTTGGCCCCTGAAGGGCACAGCAAAATTATCTAAGGAAAAACTGCTTTTTAAGTGTGGAAAATGTATGTGAGAGCAGCCCCTAAGGTTCAGGAGTTAAGCATGTCTGACCACTGGACTTCTGGAAATTGCCTAGTCCTACATTACTGGGACATTATAATGGACATTAAAGTTCCATGAATTTAAACGCAGAATGTTTCCAAATTTATAAAGGAGAGTTGAGGGTGTGATCAATATATTAAAAAGCGCACACTTCACATAATTTCTCTCAGTTGAACAAAAAGTAAGAGTTGCTGTAGGGCAGGGGTCAGGGATTTTTTTTACCTTTTACCCCCCCAAAAATTTATATACGCCGACATTACCCCCTTGATTTGAAATGAAGAATCTCGGTCATGCGTGGTAAGTCAAGTGCCGCTGCCCACGCCCAAGCTGCTGCTGCCACCTCCTCCTCTGCCTCAGTCCTTGGCCCCGCGGGGGTGGCTCCCCTTCTCCATTGGGGGGTGGCTCCTGGGCGGCCGTTGAAGAGCAGCAGGTGGCTCGCCCACGGGGGATGCCTGACACCGCCTCTCACTCCAGCACCAGGGGCTGCTCGCTGGGGCAGCCATGCCAGGCCTCGGGGTCGGGGCTCCTGCGAGCCTTGCCAACGAAGTGCCGTGACAGCTGCTGCACGGAGGGTGAGAGACTCTGCCGGCCAGTGCCTAGGCACCGCCGAAGGAAGCCGTGCAGCTGGGACAGTGCCGTTGCCGCCCGACGGGCTCCTCTGGGGACAGGGACGGGACATGAGGTGGCGGGGGTGGCATCCCGGCACTGGAAGGCTGAGCCTGGCCTGGGCCAACGTCATGGCCACGCTCGCCCCCCTCTGCCATAATCCACCTCTCCAGGCACTGGAAGGAGCGGCTCCTCCTGGCTGGGGTGCTCCGGCCC